TTTGCTTCAGTTGTACTTTAAACTGGGGTTTGATCAGTGCAACATTGTAGAAAAACATCTAAATCAGGGGTGCCCATTAGGTAGATAGTGGTCTACAAGTAGCTCACAGAGCTGATGCTGGTAGATCACGATTGTAAGTCAGCTCACTATCCTGAGAACCCTCCTGTGGTCTGTTTAGCCCCTCCCCATCTGCTGCGTCTGACACATGAAGGCAGAGGCCGACAGCACGGGAGCAGCGACTTTAGGATGGAGGGCTGAGCACGAAAGAGGAGAAGAACGAGGTCTAGCTTGCCGGTGTTCTGTAAAATTGCAGAGCAGCGACTTTAGAGAGAGCAAGGAGAGGCAGCCAGGAGGATGAGCAAGGAGAGACAGCCAGGAGAGAGAGCAAGGAGAGACAGCCAGGAGAGAGAGCAAGGAGAGACAGCCAGGAGAGACAGCCAGGAGAGAGAGCAAGGAGAGAGAGCAAGGAGAGACAGCCAGGAGAGAGAGCAAGGAGAGACAGCCAGGAGAGAGAGCAAGGAGAGACAGCCAGGAGAGAGAGCAAGGAGAGACAGCCAGGAGAGCGATAGAGAAGGAGCGCAAGGGAGGTTTTTTTTTTGTTGGTAGATCTCATGTAGCTCGTCATTTGAAAAGTAGATCTTAACAGAAAAATTGTGGGCACCCCTGATCTAAATAATTTAATGTTGAGGCTGCACTGCAATGCAAGATTTCACCAGTAGATGTCATTGCAACTGAGATTTGGCATTGCCATACACTGTCCCCAATAAACCTGGGGCCTGGGTGAAATTGTGGGGGGTCAATAAGACTACCCACAGACATGAGAAGACATTGCCCATTGTAACCATCAAGAAAATGATTGGGAAATGACTGTATAGACCTCTACAGGCTCAGTTAGAGGACTGGGGAGAATGCTCGATGAGTTCAACAAGATTTCCAGCATTCCTGAAAATCACTTTTAAGCAAATCCAGAACTTCTACAAAGTGGCTGTATTAACATCTACATGCTATTTGACCTGCAAACCCTATCTTTCAGAGTGGTCTCAAGATGGGTCTACCTCCCTCTATTTTCAACTACCTGACATACACAGACCCTGAGAGAAAACAATCAAGACAACAGACATACATATTAAGAACAGGCTGAAAAATATCAAAATTAAATCATAAAGCTCCACAATATTGATATTTTAATAATAGGTGGCGCCTGGTGAGCTGAGACAGCCCATGAAGGGGCACAGACTAAAAACTGGACCTGAACCTTTTTTTTAAGTGTAGCATAACACAATGTACTGCATGTACGTTGTGATGCGCTGCAGTGTGGATGCATTGCCGCCTACTGTAATTTTGCATTGGGGTGCCATTCTAAATAAATGGCACTGCAACTTATCTCTAAGTGCTGTGCATTACCCCATGTTGAGGTACACGCAACAGAAGTCACATTTTGCTGTGCATTACAGCAACGCAATCATTAGATTCCCCCATCCATGCTAAACAGCGTTGTAGAGGAATGCCCCACTGATGGCTATTTTATTCAGCAGTCACTGCTCTTATGGCTGCTGAATACCCAAACAGTGCCTGCGTTTTATCTGCAATGTTCGACTGATGATTTTCCACCCAGCTCCTTAAACAAAAGTTGACTGGTGCTAACCGGATCAGTCACAACATGCATTTCAACTGATTCAGCAGGTGGGTGGCACCTTTAGGCAGGGATTTCGCTACAATGAGGCAGCCATAGGTGGTTTCATCTCATTGGGGAGTGGCCGGATGCAATGCACAGCTGGTCCAGATTTTGTTAAATACCCCTCTCTCTGTGTGGTGCTGCCCAGCTCACTGACATGGAGCTGAGCGGGGATGCTCTATCTTGCGTCCCATCTAGCTCCAGCCAACCAGTGACATCCGTGAGCTGGGCGGGACGCCAGGCAGAGCCACTGACAATGTGGTCATGCGTCCACCATTGTCCTCTTCAAACATATCAGTCGTGCCACGCCTCCCTCATTCCCACCTCCACCACTGACCATTCCCTGACAGCACCATCTCCCCACCCTTCCCACGGAACATCAATGCCTCAGGTGGCGATTTACCTAGAGACAGCCCTGCCTTTAGAAATTGTCATGTGGTTTAACTCTCCAATATCTCAAAACGAAAACATGAGTTTTAGGTGGTTTGACCCTTTAAGCATAGTTTGCATCGTTCAATTGCATGTCGCAAAATCATAAATCATCTTTTCCTAAAAAAAATTAAATAAAAACAACAATGTACCTGTAAAACTATTGTTCATCTCAGGAGCCTCATCGTCATAATCATCGTTCTCCGTATGCACTATGCCAGCATTTTGCATATCATTGTAAGACTTTGTCCGTTTGGGGGTCGACTGCTTAGAGCCGGAGAGAGGATTTTGCAATGCATTACCGGAAGTCACTTTCCCATTGATGGGCTGGATTGGAGGCTTCGGTGTCCCATAATAATTACCTAGCCAACGAGAAACACATAGGCACGTTCAACAACAAAAAAATCCTAATGTTTCTTTCTCTCCCCCCACCCCTTTAACATTGGTGGATCTTTTCTTCCCGCCACTTTCGCAGTAAAGAAGAAAAATCTATTAAGTTTCTAAACATGCACCAAGCAGAAAATAAAATAGAGTTTCTTTGTTTCCTCTGGGTTCCTCAAGAATGCGCGTATTGGGAGCATTGAGGAGTGCATTGTTGAAGTTCATTCATTACACAGATTTAAGACAAAAGGCAGCTAGGCTGAATAGCAAAACTTCATCTCGCTGCATTTGAATTTCAATTAGCCGGGTTTCGTCCAAGGGTGCTTTTGTACAATGTGATGTCAGGTTTAGCGTATACCCAGCAGAAAATATAAAATTCATTACCCCTTTCACCCTGAGAACCAAAAGAAAGGAAGGACTGACCCACATAATCCAGCTGGACTCAAGTTGGTTTGCACCAAATTTTTTTTTTTCTTCTACAAACTAAAAAAAAAAAGCCTTGTAAACCCAGGATTAATTACTGAGAAAAAAAAAGAGGCAAAACAAAAAAAAAGAGGAACAGATGTTCCTTAAAAAAAATATCTATGGAACCACTTGAAGTTTTTGTGAACAATTGTATTGAAATATTATCATCCCAGAAATAAGCATTAGGATCCGGGTTTGTGCAGAAATAAGTTAAATTTTTAGGTTTCTATAAACATCAGATATAAAGCAAAGTCTACGCTCCAATTTTAACGTAACTGTTTTGCTGCCAAGGTGATTTTTGCACAAGTTATAATCCACATTTTAGGCCTAAAAATTACTTAAAACTCTTCAAAACATATTGAGGGGAATTTATCCAAACTGGAGCAGACAAAATCTGGAGCAGCTGTGCATGGCAACCAATCAGCATCCACCTTTCATTTTCAAAGCTTAACTGAACAAACTGAAGAGAGAAGCGGATTGGTTGCCCTGGGCAACTGCTCCAGATTTTGTCTGTTCCAGTTTTGATAAATCCCCCCCTATATATATTCTGAACGCAAAGACCTTGTAGAATGAATTGGCGGCAGTTGCAAATTGTTACGTCACATGATATTAACGCAACCCTTTATCAAACCTAAAATCTTAGTAAAAAATACATTTAATGCACAGTTAATTTTATTGCCCCAAAACACAATATGTTACCCATCTTTTGTAAAATATAAAAGATTAGGTTATGACAAGTAAATGGATACCCAACATGCCAAGGTTAAAAATTGCGTACCTCCGTGAAACGGCGACAAAATATGGTACCCCAAATTGTCCATGATGAGTTTAAAGGTCATCAGTCTAGAGTTATCCATGAATATTGGCCCTGGAATTCTTGCTCTCACTCTGGCACACGCAGCAATACCCAACAGGTATACCACAACTGTCGATTTTGTATGCAGGTGCACCCAACGCATGTTTATGTTAATATCAAAGCAGGGATGGGGACTCCAAATTTATTTTTTGTATTTTAACATTTATTTTAACTTTAAATGTTTTTTGTCACCTTTCTACTTCAAAGAAGCTATTTGAGTGCAGATTGCACTCAAATAGCTTCTTACCCAGCTCCAGCAGCTGGGGACTGACAGTTGAGGAACCTGAAGGGATGCAATCATCGTCACTTCCAGCTCCAGTCAGCAGGGAGGATATTGGCAAATGCATGTTTGCTGGTCTCCTTCCCCGCCAACATATGTGATGCCAGTTCCAGGCCCACAGGAGGGGCAGTGGCGGGGGTGGCACACTACATCGGCCCGTGGTAGCGATCTGGCGACAGATCAGCCATCAGGATCACTTCCAGTACAAAGCTAACAGTCGGCTTTACACATGTAAACAGAGTCCCGGGCCTGCTGCAATCAACATATGCTAGTGTGTATTTCCATGTTGCAGCCAATGTGAGTCAACACTTATTTTATGTTTGTTACATGTTCCCATTCACAAAGCTTATAAAAATAAAAAATTGCGGTTTACACTTTAAGGGCTTTTTACTTGCGTACAAATCCTACCTTGTTCCCCCCTATGTAATGTTATGGAGGGGGCTGTGGGAAGTTATGTTTACGCTAATTAACCCTGTCTATACTGCTGGCAGATTTCATTATCAGTTAACTAGATTTGAACACTGTCTGTCCTAACAAAGGGTTAAAGACTTAGAAGCATTGTATGTCAATGGGAAGAAGCTCAGTCTGTCCCTCTACATTCACTTTCAAACTGCTCAGAGTAACCTAGAATCTGCACAAAGGCCTTCACCGAAGAGACATCTTAGGCTCCATTCACACATGAGCGGTTTTCCACGTGTGTTCACGCAAACAGAAAAGCGCTAAACATAAAAACCAATGCACTGCAATGTGCATTGTCCAGACTATTGCGGCGGCCGTGCGGTGCGAAACTGCGTGTCCCGCAAAATAGTCCAAGCATGATCTTATGGGTAGATTCCACGCGTTCCAGCAATAGCAATAGCCGCAAGCGCACTAAATCCACACGCATGTTACCATTTGCGCTGTTTTGTTCCACAGGGTTTTCCACATGGAAACCGCTACTGCTATGTGTGAATTGAGCCTAAAATTTAAGAAATATAGTTCTTAAAATTATTTTTCGATATTCTGCGTGAATGGGAACACAAACATAATGTAGGGTTTTTTGGAAATTTGAGTGCAAAAGTGGAGGAAGGTGTGCTTCCTGTGTTACCTCAGAGAGTCCAATCAACCTTCACATTTCTTAATTCGGACTACAGAGCAATTGTTCTTTATAATGTGGAGATAAGGAGAGGGGGGAATTCAGTATTTTAGCAAGACAACTGAACAGGGCTGACACCATTTCTTGCAGGGTCTTTAAGTCACTGGAGGACATATACTAACCTCCTCCCATGACGAAAGCTCAGTATATAGCGGGATATTGCCCCCTATATACCGAGAGCGCCGCAGCCAGGACGGAACCCAACAATACTGTTGAGATCTACCCAGCTGGCTGATTGAAAGCGGGGTCTGCCTATCTTGAGGCAGAGCCAGCTGTGCCTGCCCCCTCCTCCATCCGTTCCTCCAGTCAGCGCTGGAGGATCAGAGATGCGGGGACGGGACCCTGCGGAGAGTGGTGACTGACAGTCAGCGCTCCCTGCAAGGACATGATCGGGGAGTGAGAGAGCGACGGTATGGCCTTCAAAAATATTTTCTAAGGGCCTACAACGATTCATAGCTGGCCATACCTCTTCTAATAGATTCTGAGCTTGTATTTTTTACTTTGTGAGTCTCCAAATCATGGCATTGTCTTTTCCATATGCAAACTGGTCCTAGTTCACACAAGCATATGGGTGGACTGCGTGACCAAATCTAAGAGATGCAAATGTTTCACGCTTAAGTGTATGTATACCCAGACATTTGTACCCCTAAGATGACATTTCCTCACCTCTCACTTGTAGGTAATAAGTCTACAAGTTTGAAATTCCCCTCACTTTCTGTCCCAGTTACAGTGCTAACCAGGAAAAACAGAGAAGATGAATCTTCCAAGCAGGGAAATAGACAGGAATAACAACTGGAAAAAGTTCTAACCACTTGCCACTCTATCTTCAACTTGAAATATTTTTGAGCAGACACTCACCACAACAAAAACAGTCCTATTTTAAAGCTAAATTGCAGGAACCCTTGCAGTATTCCCCCAAAACACTGAAATGGTAAACTGTTCACTAAGTCTAGGGGTAGAGGAACAAGCTGTAATACTTACCTTATTCCGCTTTCTGGCAGGCTTCTGACACTCCGGGTTTTGGACAGGCCTTCACCTTCCTCACATACGATGCAGGGTGGCTGGTCCTGCATTGTACAAAATGACACCTGAGTGCAACTGCTGGCTCAAGTGCCGAAGCAAAAAGAGGCTTCACGCATCATGGTGGAAGCCTACCGGAACAATGAATAAGGTAAGTATTACAACTTATACCTCCACAACTAGACTTAACGAGCATTTAGCCTTTACAGTGTGGGGGGGGTGGCCCCACTGCAAACATATTTTTTATGATAATCCCGGAGTTCAACTTTAACCTGATACACTAATAGTCATTGACACACAAGTTAACCCATCAGTTCATCACCTAATAGATGCAAAAGTGGAGAACATTTTTCATGCCAAAGTGCAAAAAATAGTGAAACGTTTTATGAAAAAGATGCATCCTTGCCACATTCCCAAACATACTGCTCGAATGTCTTACAAAAAACGACATAATCAATAATTTATGTTCCAAATGGGTAATGCCACCCATATATGCTTTACATCTGACTGCTCTGAAAAGTGCATTGAAAAGTTAGACCATGTTCAGAGCACAGTGCTGTTCACATCTCACTTTGGTTCAGCTCTGAGGTGATGGATGCCAAAACACCATCCTGCTTTTAAAAACGTGGTTTGGAGGTGTTGGATATACATCCTGAATTAAAAATCTCATAATGATAGCGAAGTCAATGGAGGAGAGTGTAATCTCTCTTTCTAGGCAGCTCCAATACATGAAACGGCCACAGGAAGGAGAGAGCGCTTCAGATGGGATTCAAAGAACAATAGAGCAGTAGGGCACCATATCATTTAATATGTTCCAAAAAGTATAGGTTTATTTCCTTGTAAGGTTCTAAACCAATGTGTTTCAGCCATTTATAAGACTCCTTTATCAGCTCTTTTAACAAATGCTCCCTTCATCTGGGCTTGTAAATAAAATAAAGAATTGGGTTTCACCAATGGCTCCAACAACCAGCTGCTAAAACCAGATTCTGAACTAAACCAGGAACTAAACCCTCCTATCCATTACAGAAGAGGAAGGCTCCATCTTAGCCTCTATTTAGATCTGCAGTTGCCATGCTGCTGCATATGTGATCAGATATGACACCAGTCATTTGAGGACTTGAAAGAACTAACTTGAGCAAACTGCATCTGTACTTGTACCTGTGAGTACTTGGACAAGTATCTGTACTTGTAAAAATGGTATCGGTGCATCACCTATATATATATA